TTGTTTGATTCATTCGGGTAGTCATCCCGACCGACACAAAATTTTAAGTTAATAAAATATATATATATATATAATTCAACCCAACTCAACTCGTGCATACGCTTAATTTTAGGTTAACTAATAAGTTCGGTTTAAAAGTTTACCTTTACTTTTAAATAACGCTAAATTTTTTAATTAATGATCAAATTTAATAACCATTAATATCTCAATAACTTCACATCAATGAACTTTAATATATATATATATATAAAATATTTCATCAATTTAAGTTTAATTAAAAATTTAATCTTTTGTATTTATTTAGTGTTTGAATTTTGTATTTATAATAAGAGTTTGAGCCACCAAATTTAAATGCAACCAATTAATTTTGTCCAATAAATTTTTTAATTTAAATTTTGTGTGTTGAAATATTTGATAAAAAAAATATTTATAGATTTTTTTAGATAGTATTTTAAAATTTTAGAGTTTTATTAGATATAAAATTTAAATTTATTTCTAATCGATGAATTTTAAACATAAAATAAAAATTTTAAGACAAATAAATCTCATTAAACTTGAGGTTGAAAAAGCTTTTGACAAAAGTGAGTTGAGACTCCATTGATTTTGGGGTTACACGAAAAGACTACATACGGGACAATTTGGATTACAACTTGTTTATTAACTCCAAATTTCTCTATTTTAGTTACCGTGCCTTCCTAAGTGTAGTTTGCTAGTCGGAATAGTTCCAAAAATTTTTGGAAAACCCTTGGAGGAACCTATTATAGGTAAAAAATAGGGTTAGTATTGAATTCGGGACGAAAAACAAGTAAATGGAGGTCAAAACAGCCGAAGAGAACCACTCATGCACGCAAGAGGTTCCCCATGCGCACTTACCATGCACCAAGCGAAGCTGCAATTGCGGGTCAGTTCACAGGTGCACGGGTCATAAGCGCAGATCGGGTTTCAATTCAGGACAACGTTTTGGTTCACAGGGGTCGATGAGTTGAGTTTAAAATTTTGTTTATGATATCTAGATGTAAGATACATAGAAACAGAATGTTCGAAGAAAAATAATGTTTAAAAATATAAATAACTGTATTTCGCTCAAAGATTTTAAAATCGATCGGTCTACCCCCTTATAAAAATGTTTAGTTCTATCAATAAGATTAAGCATATTAATTTATTTTACTCGTAACCTGTTTATTGTGCTTTACTTAAATGGAAACAAGTTTATTTTAATTGAATTTAAGCATTTATGTAATATTCGTGCAAAGTGAACGTATTATCATGATATAAGATGAAAACTAGTGGAAAGACGAAGAACGTGACCATGAAACTAGACATGAGCAAGACATACGTGACTATATTCATCCAAAAACTAAGTTCCTTCTTAGAAAATTTCTCGAAAACCATTTTATAGAACAAACATACCCAAGAACTTTACTTTTTTTTTCGAAATTTCAAATCATAGAATGAGGACAAAAAATACGAACACGTGAATAAATTAAAATAATATTTTATCTCAAGATAAGTCATTTTTGCATAAAAAATTATAAGTTCGAATTTTCACCCCTTAAAATTTTTGCCTTCATATATATATATATATATATATATATATATATATATATATATATATATATATATATATATATATATATATATATATATATATTTTTTT